TGTGTTACAAAGCTCGTCTTGTTGCATAAGGCTTCTCACAACGTTCGGGATTGACTATGACTAAACTTATTCACCCGTTATGGATGTGATTACTTTTCCCTACCTTATCAGTTTGGTAGTTTCCAAAAACTAGATATGCAGTTGATAGACATAGTAACCACGTATCTCTATGGGGATCTTAATATGAAAATTTATATGAAAGTTCCCGAAAGACTTACATTGACTGGTTCAAATATTTCCAAACCCCAAAACACGCTCTTAATTCGACTAAGGCGTCACTCTACGGTTTGAAGCAATCTGGAAGAATGTGGCATAACTGTCTGAGTGAGTATTTGACTATTCAGGGATATGTGAACAACGAACTATGCCCTTGTATGTTCATTAAGAAGTCACATTCTGGATTTGTGATTGGTATAGTATATGTCAATGACACGAACCTTATCAAAACTCCTAAAGGGCTCGCGAGAACTGCCGCGCACCTGAAGTCAGAATTTGAGATGAAAGATCTAAGAAAGACTCAATACTGTCTCGGTCTCGAGATAGAGCATTGTTCAGATGGAATCCTAGTACATCAATCGAACTATACCTAGAAGGTGTTGCACCGCTTTAATGATGATAAAGCGAAGCCTTCGAGTATTCCTATGGTCGTCTGATCGCTAGATGCAAAACAAGATCCCTTCCATCCGAATCAGGATGATGAAGAGATTTTGGAGCTTGAAGTTCATTATCTAAGTGTGATAGGCGTTTTATTGTACTTAGCTCAATGCACTAGACCCGACATCTCCTTCGCTATTAATCTTTTGGCACCAACACGTAGACATTGGACTGGCATGAAAGACAATTTCCGTTGTCTTAAAGGTACTACGAATTTGGGCTTGTTCTATCCCTACAAATCCTTGAGTGATGCTGCACCCTTTGCTTCTCGAGTCGATTCTCACCTTGTTGGTTTTGCCGACGCAGGATACTTATTTGATTCGCACAAGGCGTGTTCTCAAACGGGTTATGTCTTTACCGTTAAAGGCTCCACAATCTCTTGGAGGTCAACTAAACATACCTTAGTTGCCACTTCATCTAACCATGCTGAAATTCTCGCCTTACATGAAGCAACTCGGGAATGCTTTTCATTGAGAGCAGTAGTGGGCCATATTCGAAGCTCCTGCGATCTTTATCCCCCCGTTGATGTCCCAATGACGATCTTTAAAGCCAACGCAACATGCATTGAACATCTCAAGAAGGGTTACATCAAAGGAGACAACCCTAAACATATTACACCGAAGTTCTTCTTTTCACATCAGCAACAAGAACATTAGAAGATTGAAGTCACGCAAATCCGTTCACAAGACAATCTAGTCAATCTCTTCACCAAATCACTACCGAAGACGACGTTTCAGAAGCTTATTCATGGAATTGGTATGCGTAAACTTTTTCAGTTATAACTTTGCTATTTCTTTATGGAATTGTGTCAAACTCACGGAGAGTATCCTGAAGATACTTGCTTGATCTTAATGGACTCTTTTTCCCTACGATTAGGAACATTTTTCCCACTGGGTTTTTGCTACCTAACTTTTAACGAGGCACCCACCTTGGGCTGGTCATATCCCTGACGACGCCTCGTAGACATTTCTTTTAACTTTGCATTTCTCACGCATTTTTCCTTAGACTATGGATTTTGTCCCTACTCGGGTTTTGCCATAGCCTTAGGGATTTTTAGTGAGACTCGTTTACTTATGCAAGTTCTTACCTTATTGTGAATAAGCGTTGTTCCTTAGAATCAGTGTCGACGAGTCGACTTCCTCAACTTCTGCACGATGCTGAATCTACCTTGAGTATTTACACAGTTAATGGGGAGTGTTGTAAACATTCCTAGTTTGGCGTATTGGGAATCCTCGCCTTCGGCCGATGTGTAGCTAACCGTGGGATTCTTGTAAATCGTTCCTCGGGATGGGGATTTTGAGATCTTTTATTCTCGAAGCAAATAGTCATATTGCTCGACGTCCTGGGCCAGTTCGTTCAAATCTCGGAAGTTTGCCCCCAAGAATTTCTTTTTATATTCCACATCCAGGTCATTCAAAGTGATTCTGACAAATTCAACTTCAGGGAGAGGTACTCGGCACCAATTTCTGGCCGACTTAAACCTCGTTAAGTATTCCATTGGTGACTCGTCAGATGTTTGAGCCATCCTAGCCAGTGACGAAACTGACATTTCCATCCCCGGCCGGTAGAATTGTTCATGGCATTTTACGACCAGTTCCTCCCAACTTTGGATGGAATTGGGCGAAAGGTTGATGTACCAAGCAAATGCCGAACCTGTTAGCGAGAATAATCGTAGTTTATGGAAGTTGCTATTAACATCTTCGCATTGTGCAGTGAACTGAGCCACATGTTCTAATGAAGACAGGGACAATTTGCCAGCAAAAAGGCTGAAGTCTAGGATTTTGAAACCTTTAGGATATTTGAACTTCTCTACATAAGATGGGTATAGATGGATGAACTTTGGGAACTTTGGCCCTTTTTTCAAGGCCTAATTGATCATTCTTTAGACCTCGATCACATTGACGGATGTTGTTTCTTCTCTCTGAACGGATCCGTCTGATCTATTGGTTGATCCTCCTCTTTTTTTAAAATCGATCATTTTGAGCCGAGCAGATCCTGTTTTGGCCTGTAGTGTTGATATCGGATTACCTTTAGGTGGAAGTTGCCGGGAACGATCAGTGGGTCCGCCATCGTAAACTTTACTAACCAACAATTCGAGCATTTTGTTGTGTGCCTCACCATTACTGCTTATTACTTCAAGTATGCTTCTTACTTATTGACTGAAAATCTAAGATTGCTCTTCGAGTCTTCTCTGAAGAACAGATCTAGTCGGCAGATCAGAACCTTCACCACCATCCTCATCGCAATCTTCGATTATTCATTCGACAAAAATTGCTTTTGTTGCTCTGGTGGTGATCTCCGCATCACGAGCCTGTCCGCCGAGACTAACTTCATTTTCTCGACATGTCACACTCGTGGCTTCGAGTGTGATGGTATCAAGAGGATTCTGTGCTTGTGACAGGCCATCATGATCTAGGTTTTGGACCGTAGGTGGAAGGTTAGTCGCTAATTTACCCATCCCTATTTTCTTTTTTACCGATCGTGTCTCAATGGTCATGAACTTCTTAGCTTCAGCAATGGGTCTCACTGGGTGTGCCAAAATGTTGACCCAAAAAACTACCAAGCCTACGTGGCGTGTAGGCTGAGTAATCAATAAACTAACTACGTCATTCGGTTGTGTGCGGGGTGTGCCAACTCATCGGCTGAGCTCGGCCGAGGAGTAAAATGTGTTGATGTCGCGTTGGGTGCACTGCTGACTTCTTGATCTTGCAACTGCAGCTGAGGAAGGAACACATCTCGGCCTTCAAGTTCTAGAGCCTGAAGATAAGGATGCTAGTTTTGCGAAGTTCAATATCAAATTCGGCTTTCAATGTGCCGAATGTAGAAACCTGTAACACCTCACTTCGCCGAGAAGGCTAATGAGATGACCTCTGCCAATAAGGATTCGAAAATCCTTCTTGACCGAGACTTGGATAGATAACCAGTCGGCCTCGACGCAGTGCTGTTTATCCAAACTGAAGATGTGTTGGCGGAAAAAGGAAAATAAAAATCTCAAGGTTGTTGAGAGGTTTCGCGTAAAGCGAGAGTTTGCGCAGGGCAATTTGTGTGTTGAATTGGAGGGCTTAGAATGATGCACCCCCTTCTTATTTATAATAGCCAATCTCGTCATGGCCGAACTAAAACTATACTCGGATTAGGATTCTTTATCCTAATCTAACCAAGTCTCGCCCAATCCTACCTCCATTAGGACTTTGAACCACACTCTTTAACTGTTCACATTCACTTCTTAAATTTGAGCATCCTCATTCCATTGAGACTCCTTAATATACTAGGACTCCACTCATTCGCTCTTACCTATATCAATCGTTCTTGCAATAGGACTCGACCAACTTGACTGGACGGCCCATAGTATTTTTTGGAAGAGCTTTGGACCGAACACAAACCTAAGCTCGGTCCAATAATATTATTTTGGGCCCAAACAAGTACCATTTAAATTTTTCTAACACTTGCGTAACCTGCATATTATAACGTTCTTGATTCAAACGTGCGACCATGAAAATTGGGGCGTGAAGATTGTAATGATGAGCAGAGTCATGTTGTGTTGCACAATAAACAAGAGGCAGCCTTTTCTATTATTTAGTGGCTCTTTCTATTATTGAGTGGCTCAACTCGGTTGGTTTCATATGGGATCAGGTTTTGTATCTTGCAAAATAAGAAGGCTCAATCTCGGCAAAGTCAAAGGACTTCACCCACTTATCCAGAACAGGAGATGGTGGCATCGCTAATCCGTTTGTGCACTCTGCGATAGGAGCTGTTGAGTCCATGACCAGACTCTTGTGGTATCCGTATTTTGATCACCCTTACTTTAGCTCTAGAAAATCATGGTCCCACAATTCACCCTAACTATGCATGTGAAAGGGATGCTCCCCTTAAGGAAGGATAGTTATTCGAAGACCATATCTTTTGCAGTAAATTGGAATACGATACCATTTAAATTTTTCTGACACGTGCGTAACCTGCATATTATAACGTTCTTGATTCAAACGTGCGGCCTCGAAAATTGGGGCAGGAAGACTCTAATGATGAGGAGCGTCTTGTTGCGTTGCACAATAAACAAGAGGTGGCTCTTTATATTATTGAGTGGCTCAGCTTTCGGGCACACGAATCTTGAGGTAAAGCGTTCCGTATTCAGCGGTGAAATTATTCAGACACTCTTTTATTTATGTTGGAAGTATGTCTGGGAGTCCCGAGCCTTGAACTCAACCCATATTAAGAGCATCCAGCACAAAATGAAAGGAGAAAGTGGTTTGACCTCCGTCAATATGTGAGTGGCTCCCCCCCCTTGCACTTATTTTGTTTGTGAAATGTAACACAGCGGCTCATAACTGAAACTCATCATACTGAGAGGCAGAACAAAAGAGTTATTCCATTCGATAGGATTGCTATTGTATTGCTCGCTTAAATTCATAGATGAAAGGTTATCCCGGATGCAATCAAAAATTTGCAAATCAGTGTATCCACACGAACAAAAAGAAACTCTAAAAGTAAGGACACGAACAAAAAGAAAAAAACATATCCGCAGCTGGCAGTGGCAGTATATCCACAGAAACAGAACATCTACCATGTGGCTACTACATTTTTTTAAGCGTGTTCACATACGTGTAACTGGAAAATGCTACAAACAGCTTGCGGAACCTGTAGATATAAAATGCAAAAGTTAGAAAAACTAATAGCCGACTATCTGAATTTGGGACTAGCCAGAAACTGATGACTTGGAATCGTTTCGGTTCATGGAAGCTGAAGAAGATTTTGTAAAAGAAATCTAAAGATTCACAAGTAAAATAAGGAAGAAAACATGAGAAAATATGTTGAGATTGGTTGAATAATATGGTTCGGTATCCTTTTCAATTCACAACGTATAAGCATACCAAACCCATTGGCTGGAATGTTGTGCCATCGCTAGGAAGCTCTTTCTGGGCTGCTCATTGAGCAAGCAATGCACCACTTCATGTGAGGATTGCATGGGATTTAAACTGGACAGCCAGATATCGACTGGTCCGCTATACTTGCGAAATATGTTTGTACTAACCTGGGAACAATTAACGGGACAGCAAAACAAAAGCTAACATCACTGTTCAACATCCAACAAGTACTATCGTATAAGAATTCAGGTGAATTATAGTTTCTTCAGAATTTCAGGATACTTGCGAATGAAGAGAAAACATACGAGTTCCCAGGCTTCAATTTTCCTTTGTGACGAAGCTTGTAAGAGTTTCCTGCTTACAACATAAATAAACTATAAATAAATGTGGCAAATTATAGTATGCCATAGTAAACAAATAACAAAATGGTCATCCCGAAAAACGTACATCAACCCAGATGGAAGAAGACAATAGTTAAGTTCGGTATTCATTTGGGGCAAGTACGTCATTATCTTATTATATGCAGTCAGTGGTGCAAGAATTTGTAGGATTACTCTCATCAATTACTATTCTCTTTCTTTCTTTCTTTTATCACCCAGGAGAGCCACCCTGTCAGCTTTTCTGACAAGGAAGCCCAACCTGGGGCCCACTGCTGAACATTACAAATCTTTGGCAGCAGGAAACACTTGCGACTGCTAGATAGGTACCTTGACAGGTTTCAAACCTGAGACCTCATGGGACAACTGAAGTACCTCAGCCATTACCAATGTAGCCCTGTTACTTATAACTCCCCAAGTTTCAATTTAGAGGTCAAAATTTGTCTGAAAATAGTGAGATTCAAAAGGTAAAGAAGAAAAATTGTACAGCAAGAGAATACATTCATGTCCCAAGAAGACTAGTACCTGGTCTTAACTTTTTTGTAACATCTGTCATAAATATCAAACATATTTAGGAATTTGTTATTAGGATCTGGTTCGCCTTTTTGTTTAGGGTTGTGTTAGGAAAGGTAAGGTGCACAGATTCTTGTCCTACAAGGATTAGAAAAGAATTAAGTTTTCTTGTACAATTAGATTAGGAGTCCTAGAAGCAGAATTGCAATAGGAAAGAAACTGTAATTTTATATCCATATAGAAGCAGAAAATAGGATGTAAACCACACCATATACTTATAAATAGAGGTGCAGGAAAGGCTGAAAAGCTAGTGAGAGATAACAGAGAGACAGCTGAGGGAAGAGAGGACTAGTTCTAGGGTTTGCAAAAGTACAGTATACTCTATTATTGATCAAAGAAGCCGTGGTTTCTCTACCCAGAGAAATCACAACTGGACATAGGCAAAAGTTCTGCCGAACTAGGATAAATCTTGTGTGTTTCTAGTTATTCTCTAATTTGCCAAGTTTAGTCTAGTGCCGGAAACATCAAAGAACAAGATACAGAGGGGAGTCAAAATTACACCATTTTGTAGCAAGAAATTCCTTCAATTTCAAAAATATTGATAAAAAATGACTAAGAAATAGAGTTCAACTCACCTTACCCCATAATGCACATCACGGTGGTTACAATGGCCTGAAACTCCGTAGTTATCAAAAGTAATTATCTGATAAAGTTTGTGTGAAATGGATTTTAAAACGGGTATTGAGATTGAAACATAAGATTAGGCAATACTTCATACAAAACAGTAGTCCATCAAACGATGCTTATCACATCACCACAAAAAGACAAGAACTTCAGCCGAAATTACAACAGAAGGTGAGTTCATAAAGAAAACAATTTATTCTGAAGGATTATCTTTACCAAGTCAATGCTGTTTCTTGTAATTTCCTCTTCGATAATATTTGCCAATATGCTATCGTTCCAAACTTTGCCAAAACCATCCTAAGGATTGAGAAGTATGTAGTTATAGATACCTCAAGAATGTACTAGAAATTGTGTTAATTCAATAGTTCAGTAGAACCTGAAGATCTGGATGATCCAGAACCGACACTTGTTGATGCGGAACCTACATATCCAATTTCGCATGTTACAAAGTGTAAAATGGTCTGGTGAAAATACTTCACGATGTATCAAAGATTAAAAATGAACACAGGTTCTGCAAGCAACGACCCTTAACAGGATTTTCAGAATTGTGGGCAAAATAAAGTTCACAACACTAAATAGCTTGGGAATTGATTTTTACACACCTTTTTTAGCTTCTCACACGCCCCTCTTTCTTTCTAGCCATCAGATTGAATAAGTCAATCATAATCAACAGCCAGGATTAAATAGGGGTGAGTGTTTATCATTTTCCAATAACTTTAGCACTGGATTGACATGAATAAATTTTGGCTCACAACATTATACCGAGCTAATATGAAAGCCTCAACCACAACATTGCATATCACCTTGAGAATTGCAGAAGCCTGGTAGAGCTCTTCTTTTCTTGTAGTTCCCTTGCCATCTGCATCACCTACTCAACAGACGAAACTAAGAATTCATTTCGAAAAAAAAAAAAAAGATACAAGAGATGATAAGGGCAAGGGTTAACAACTTATGAGACATAATTCTAATTGTACCATCAAACCTATTCTCTAGAGATATGACAATTTACAATAAGTAGTGGTAAAGGATGAAACTACTGTAACACAGGATGTATGAAACCAGCAGAAAGACCTCGAGAGAAATTCTTATCCCATCTTAAAGGAATGGGCTTACCTCAATTCCAGATACACTTGCGGATGGAGAACAAAACCAAATTGTAGTTTAAGAGTAGGGATGACTACAATAAATGTACATAATATATGCTCATTAGATTGACTAAAGTTTTATACATCAATTTTATGCAAACACTGCCCTTGAATCAGTTATAATCCCTTTTGGGTTTTTATTCCGAGAGGCCCATTTCCATAGCTAAACCTATAAACAATTGTTCAAATGTTCAAGAAAAGATGTGGATAAAATAAGAGATTTATAAAACAAATTAAATGGGGTTACATAGATTTCAAAACCCATGATGACCTCAACTGTTCCGGATATATCTACAATTGTGTTGTCATATGATCTATCTCTAGTTAAAGTATACGTTGTTTTTATGTAAAATTAATCCATCGTACAGGTGATTATTGAAAGAAAAAGTCATTTCGCCGCATAATAAATTTGTGAACAAGTTTATGTTTAAGCTAGAAGGAGATTAACAAAAATGCATAGACAAAGTTATCTACTAGGTTAAAGTGCATTACCAATTGACAAGCATAAAATGTGAACATTATGCCCTCTCGAGGTCAGATAGTTTATTGTTGGAGTAAAGAACCTGCAGAAGTACGACACAAGGTTTTAACACATTATAAATTCAGAACCTCATGCATCACATTATACAATTTGGAAACAAAAAAAGACCTTGTCTCTCATAGCATAAAATCTCAACAATTGCACAGGAGGAAAACCAGTCAAACAAATGAAATTAGGCCATGAGAGCACTTAAAAAACTCAATTGAAAGTAGCTACAACTGAAGCCAGTATAGATTCAAAGCAGTGACAATCCAATTTTGTATAGGCTTACATGGACTCGTCATCTGGGTGGGCAACAACGAACAAAACATTTCTCTTGTTGAAACTGCCACCTGTTTAACAAATACATTTTAGTCAATCAATAGACGTGGAAGAAAAAAAACACACCCAGGAAAAGAAGCTCATGCAAACTACCCACCATTTTTCAAATTATTCAAAAAAGTGCCCTTGGGAAGCGAATATGAGCCGTGAATAATTTTGAATAACGAAGCTACCCAAAGTACAATCGCTGAAGAAACAATCAAGAACCATGCCATTCTAGCATGCACCTGCACACAATGATCACCAACACATCAAATCAAACAACCTCCAAACTCGAGCGAGGAACAAATCCAGCAACCCAATCATTGTTTTGTCCTGTAACATACCCTGTAAACATTTAAACGCTACAGGCTTCCCCTAAGTGGCATTTCATCAAACACATGGACTACAATACCAGAAAACCTAACTTCCATCAATGGAAGTAAAACATAAAAACACTAAAATGCCTAAAATACCTGAAATAAGAAGTTCATTCCATCAAAAATAGTTTCCATGTGTTTTGTAAAGGGTGTATGCATCAAGATAGAACCTCTACCATTATACAGACAACTTTAGCTCTTTCACAATATGACTAGTAAAGTAAATGCACATTGGTAAGTTGTAATAATGCTGTTTCCCCTTCTTTTTTAACTTTATAGTAAGGCCAAATACTGATGGCACTTGTGGGGTGTATTGCACAAATTTGATCTACATAGAGCACAGGGATTGACAGAGAATGCAAACCAAGATACATATTAATAAAACAAACAAAACAAAACAGGGAAATAAACAACATTTGAGTACCCAGAAACCAAACATCACCAACCTTAATACCAAAAATTAAATCAGAAATCTTTGTAATCTTTCGTTTCCTCCTACGAATGATTGACTATATCATATAATTTTCCTCTGGACCGTGGAATGTGGACTAATTTGTGATGACGGTGGCTCCGTGGAGGATGTCGGTGGTGGTGCTCATCTCATCTGGGGAAATGATTGTTTGGAGAGGAGAGAGACTAAGAGAGAATGTGTACGTAGGCGACGGTGATGGCGGCAGCGTCGGACTATAGAGGGAATCGTGGGTGCTTGAGGGCTGAGAGAGGAGGTCATGGGGAGCGACTCACCATGGATATACCGATATCTTCGACGGAAATTTTAGGAAACGCATACCAAGTCAGTTGTCTATATATACTAGCAAATTGTACCCGTGCGTTGCGCAGGGTTTAAAACACTGTTGAAGATGTAAAAAGTCTCGAAAAATGTATACGCTAAAGAGTGGTACGGTAGGTTTAGCCTCATAATGGGATAGAAATAATGTGGTTCAAATTCGTCTTTGATAAGAATCGAACATAATACCTCTCACTTTCAAACAAAGAGGAATACTATTAGATCATAGTACTAAGTGGCAAGAAAGATGTTGGTATGCATATTATATTACAAAAATTGGGAATGTTGGTACGCCATCTTGAAGGATTGTTTTTCAAAAGCTATGGCTCTATCTCATGGAGTGTTTTATGTTTACAACTATACAAAGTAGGAAAAAAAAATTGATCACTCGTGAATTGAATCACCCTAAATTGCATTATGAATTGAATTGAATGAAAATCTAAAGATGAAGGGAAAGTTTTATAATTTCACTATGCAAGATTTCACTATGACAGATTTCATTTGCAGGCACCAAAACATGTGCAAAATTAAAGTTGGGGTTTCATACTCTATTGGGAATCGAAAGTCATGAAATAACCAAACCAACATCCAATTTAGTACACACCTAAGAAAAACATAACCAAGAAAATATATCCAACTCCTCAATCATTAATCAAACATAGTAATACAATCATTGAAAATCTCTCAATCATTTATCAAAATTGAATTAATAAAATTGGATGTTGGGGTCAAACTTTTGTGTCCGCCTAAGGATATTTGAGGGTAAAAATTTAATGTTACTCAATCTAGCTTTTAAGTTATTTTATTTTCAGTCTGCAAATTCAAAGTAAATATTTAACATTCTACAATGTAGTTTCAATTTCAATTTTCATGTAATTTGTTACCTTCAAAACTTCATGCCAATAGAAACTCTACATGCATGTATTCCTCGTATCATGAACATCAGTCTATATCAATATATAATTTTAGCAACACTTAGTGGGAGCCAATTATTCTTGATGCTCCTGACAATGACAATATATATATATATATATATATATATATATATATATATATATATATCGAAGTCGTATATGTACTTACATCTTCACTGTGCATGCCAACTTTTAGGGTTTCATTTTGGGATTGTTACGTTTCAAGATGAAAATTTTGGTACCCTTTAGCGGGAGTTTGTATATTGGATTCATCTTCTTTAGCCCTTTGTTTGCAATTTGAATTACATGACTCAAAGTCTGTTGTATTTCTTCAATTTTCATCTTCGAGTTTAGCATTGGGTCTCACTGGGCGTGGCAAAACGTTGACCCTAAAAACTACCTAGCCTAAGTAGCGCGTTGGCCGAGCTTAGGTAGGGAGTAAAATGTATGTTGAAGTGGCGTTGGGCAAGCTGATGACTTCTTGATCTTGTGATTGCGACCGAGCAAGGAACACATCTCGGCATTCGGACTCTAGAGCTTGAAGACAAGACTACCAGTTATGTGAAGTTTAGTATCAAATTTGGCTTTTAGTGTGCTGAATGTAGTAACCTGGTAACACCTCACTTTGCTAAGAAGGCTAATGAGATGACTTCTACCAACAAGGACTCGAAACTCCTTGTTGACCGAGACTTGGATAAATAACTAGTCGATCTCGAAGCAGTGCTGTTTATCCAAACTGAAGGTGCTCCTCGGTCGATTGATTCTACGACTCCAGTGTTGTTTATCCAAACTGAAGATGTTGCCGGTTGCCTCCACAGTGTTGTTCATCCAAACTGAAGATGTGGTGGCGGGAAAAAAGAAAATAAAAATCTCAAGGTGTTTGAGAGGTTTGCGCAGGGTAGCTATGTGTTGAATTGGAGGGGGCTTTGAATGATACACCCCTCCTTTCTATTTATAGTAGAGGAACATTATCTTATCCTATTCTATCTTATCTTATCCAACCTTATCTTATCTTATCCTATTTTATCCAACATTATCTTATCTTATCCTATTTTATCCAACATTATCTTATCTTATCTTTAGCTGCAAGGAGGAATCCTAATCACATTCCAATACTTTCGACCTGATTTTTAGTCCAAAAATAACTCAAAAACGCCAAAGCCCTTTCCTCCTTGGATTCAGCCATTCCCCCTATATATATGAAATGCCTGCAGAGATTTAGAGTGTGCCATGCCTACCATTCATCCATTGAAGTTGCTGGAATTTTCAAGAGTTCTTTCTATCTTTGTTTTAAGTTTCAATGTTTATTTTAGATTGTTTTTCAGTTATGATAAACATGCGTAACTAAATTTCTTTTTAGTTAGGGTGAATTCGAAGCCATGAACATGTGTTTTATATGAATTGATTACATTCAATTATTAATTCATAAAATGTGAATGCGATTTACTTATCTGTTTTATTAAGAACTTGTTCTTGTATGTTTATTAAGGATGCATACTTAGTTTGCATGCAGGGATTTGATGCTAGAATATAAGGGAATTTCACTTAATCGTTGTGAACTTATATTTATAAGTAGTAAATGTCACTAGTCATGATTGTGTTAAGTAAACTCTTGGTAGGAGTATCATGCAGTTCATAGTTACGAATGCCTTGTCAATGCTTATGATTTTTACAGAACTTAATGATCTTTGATATGTATCTCTATCATGCTATCCATATAGGGAACTTGATAAGAATAATTTGGTTGCGTCGCTAAGTCCAATTCAATGAAATTAGGAAAATTTGAGAGTTAATTAGTGATGTTCACGATTAATTTGGGGCATTGTCATTCATGGTCTATAGGAATAATAATTGGAAATCGATTTGTATGCATATAGTTCATGTGTGAAGAAGAATCCTCTAGCTAGTCTTTCACCCAATTTTCATTCATACTTTACTTTGTTTGATGCAATTTACTTTAGTTTCTTAAATTCGTCCAAAAACCCCCCTTAGTTCTTATTTGTGTTAGTTTCATCTAGTTTATTGTTTTTAAGTCTAGTTTGTGTTGATTAGCATCCCTTCTAATCCACGGCTAGAACGATCCCTACTTACTCATACTACAATTGTCTAAATTATAGGATTTAATTTGTGTACTAGTTTCTACCACATCAAGGAACCAATTGCTACACTGGATCAGAGAGAGAAAACACTTCGGTGATACCTTTGGTGAAAGTCCTTTGGCCAAACCACAAAATCAAAGAAGCCACCTAGGAAAATGAAGAAAGTATGAGAGCTAAATATCCCTATCTTTTCTACTAGTTGTTGTAGAAGTTTCGGGGATAAAATTTTCTAGAAGGGGGTGGACTTTTACAACACATCGCTTAAAATAATGTTATTTTATTCCTAAGACGTGTGATACTCCTAAGTAGGTGTCCTGAGTAATTTTCAAGCCTTGAATCGAAATTCAATTCTTATACTTTCCTATGTTTATCTAATTATATTCATGCATGTGAATGTGAAATCGAAAACGAAATTTGAATCGAAGCCTCGAGGGCTTAATTCTTATACTTTCTTATACTTTCTTATGTTTACCTAATTATATTTAGGTAATTTCACTTGGATAATCTAAGTTAGCTTGCTTAGCACTCTCGGTCACTCTCTTCCATCAGTTCTGAAACTCCCTCTCTCTTTAACTCTCAATCTCTCCATGCACTCCCTGTCACCACCGTGGCCATCTCTACTTGTCCACGAAATCAAGCCATCACCACCATTTTCGTCATCCTCATGCTCTGGGCATTCTGCTGGTATCCTTGCATGTGTGATCAGTGAAGGGGAGGAGGTCAAAACCTATAGATCAAGCACATCATTGTAACTGCCAGAATGTCTCATAAAATTATTCACTCCATAATCCCTAACTAGCAGTACAATTTATACACCAAATGGTAATACATATAAAGAGAACACGCGCTTCTGCGGGGAATTAAGTAATGCTCCTGAAACAAAATGGAAAAGAGAAACAGAAATAAAAAAGAAAAGAAAATTGTTGTACACGAACTCAACAAAAAGGAACAGACCATCCTCTGCAAATCTTGAAGTTTTAACATGGTCGAAGAAGTGGTCTTCAGAAACCAAACCCAAGTTTAATTTTGGTTAAATCCACCTTTATCACATGACAATGCATCGGCTCCTTTCTTCTTGTGGTTGAGCTGCAACTTGCTGGAATCTGTGTGACTCTGATGGGTTATATGTAAACTCAGCTGTATCAAGTCCGTACTGATTTATGTGCACGTCAACAGACAAAACAGAGCACAGGCATCAGAATCATAGGCTACGGAAAAATTTAAAATGAACATTTTGAGTTTTCGATAGGAAAAATAAAAATGACAAACGGAATTTATCTAATCACAAAAATGTGGTAACCTGATAGTGTTGGAACAATCAACAAAAGTCTAAGGCAAGCATGCTAATATGGCGGCCTTACTTTGAGACTTCCATGGCTATATTTCTATACTAACATCTCACACAAACTTTTAAGGAATTATTTTTTCCAGAATCCCTCACCTTTTCCCTCATGCGTGTACTCCAAGCATCATTTCTGTTTGGTGTTCTCTGATCAAGAGCCCCAGCAACAGGTACACCAGTTGCTGGAACAGCTGGCCGGTTGCTGATCAATGGCTGCCTAATTTGTTGCCTTGGAGCAATGAGCTCATCATCACTGTCATACTCTGCTGGTCTATTAGCTGCCCTAACCACAAGAGCTAGCAAGAAAAGTAGAGCCTGAAATTCCATGGACAATCATTATATATGCAACATATCACATGAGAAAACAAAACAATCTTCAACTGGTTATTTCCAAACCACTAAACCTAGATTCAAGAATAACAACGCAAGAACGCTCATCTTAGCAATGATATTGTACAGCTAAAGAAAGAATGCACCAAAACCTTATTCGGTTAATGAGGAAACATTAACCATATCTGGCAAAGCGGTACAAGTTCATGAGAAAATTTTAAGGAGCTGGCTGTCATTTTCTGATCTAACATTATCTCTGGAACCAACATTAATGTCACATTGCAATGGTTTTGTTCTTGAACTTTTATGCAAACATATCTCTCAATGTTTTTCTGGTAAGAAACATATTTTACTTAAAGAAAAGAATGTTATGAAGCAGCGACAAGATATCCACAAGTTTCCTAGAGTATTGATATATAAAGGAAGTTTCGTTAATGTCATTGTCATGTAGGAATAATGCCATTAGAAAGAGGACTTTCACACATGAGCCCGTCAAAACTGCATGTCATAGTAAAAAACACTTAAACCCGACTTTGAAGAGGGAAAACCCCCTGAACTCAAGTGTTATTGCACCAGACTATTTTGCACCCAATATTACAGTTATAGATGTCTTCCTAATTTTTTATTATGAAGTGTTGCTCACTAACAGTCATTTGATAACCATTTTATTTTCATTTTTTCTTTTCACCTTTTATGAAAACTGAATACTCGGTTTGATAACCACACTCAGTTTTCAAAAAAATGAAAAATAAAAAACAAAAACTGAAAACCAAATAGTGAAAAGTACTTTCTTGAGTTTTCAAATTTTGACTTTCAGTTAAAAAAAAATTATAACTGATAACTAGAAATGAAATGGTTATCAAGCGGCCCCTAAAAGGGACTACATTAATTGAGTATAAAAAAAAAAAAATTGACTTGTATCATTTCCGTGCTATTAACAAATTTTTTTAATCAATGCAATGAAGAAAATTGTACTTAGAATTACAATAAGATCCCAGTTCATGCAAACAAACATACACTGCAAAATAAAAAAATGGATATTAGTTATACCAATCATGCTTATGCAAACAATTCCATCACTGCTATCGTCATCTAGGTGCAGAACAAGTAAATACTTCAAATCATATAATGAGTCATGATTACTATCAATTCAGGCGTAGGAAATCGACGACTATTAACAAGAAAATATGGATTCATACAATCAGGTGAAACTCAAACATATAAGTAAACAATACAAGCTGAGATCCAAAGCATTAAACCTTTTCTTCTTATCCTACATGTTGATTAGGCCAAGGCGGAACCAACTCAATGGTGGCAAGCAATTCAAGTCTAGCCAATGAAAACAGAAGTAAATACTCCACAGAAATTTCAGGTTAGATGTTTTGTTTGCAGATTCTAAGTATACTTTTGCTTTCCTTTCCTTTCTGTGCATGCACTACTTGCTAAGAACACGTCCACCCCATTCTATTCATCTTTTAACTTTCTATATAGAAATGACGAGTTAAAAATATAATTCCAAAGAAGGGGAAGGGAGGGAACTTCTTCCAGAAAAGAGACTGTCATGCCAACAATCTTCCTTAAAATGATGGAACGATATAGTCCTAAATTCATCCAAAAAATACAAAATAAAATCATATAAAACATGTCAAAACTGAAGACCGCGGGACAAGAATTTGAAATTGTAAAAATTACCTCGAAGACAACAGCTCCAAGAGCAACCCATCTCACAATGTTCCAATGAGCTTTCAGAAATGCATATATCATCTCAAAATCTCCACTTGAATCCGTTGGGATTTCCTAAACAGCAACTTATGACACTGGTTAGATACTGAATCGTACCATTACAATTTAAATTTCAAAACATCAACAGATACAACACTTACATCTTCCCAGCTTTTGTCAAAGAATATAAAGGCGGCAGCTCCCAGCTCTACCAAGATCAAAAGGATCACCAGGACCGAATACTATGCTGACTTAAGGACCCCAATTTGTTAAAATAAAACCAAAACAAATAAAGCATCGCTTCATGCACATGCACATATTCAATATGACAGGCATACTATTATCTGATATACTTTTAGACAAAAAGAATAAGTAATTAGGATACACAACTCAAGCAGCAGCCATTCCGTGTCATAGCACCCACGCAACCAAAACAAGAGATGACAAATATAATTGCTCCAATTCCAATAAACAAGTATATGAACCTGCAAAAGCATGTGGGGTCAAAAATGGGAGGAAAAAAGAAAGAAGAATTATCGGCTTGAACTCAACAGGCATAGCAAACACTATAAGTGTAACCTTTAACGGGTCATTATTATTAAATATAATATATATTATATATAAATTCATTAATATGGGATTATGGATAAATCTAGGATACTTAAGGCACATGTTCCTTCCAGAAAAGTGGAGGCAGAGGGGAAACATGAAACAATGATTGTAGAAGATAATCTAGGAAGTTCAGAAAATATTAATCAAATGCAAGAAGATAAGTCTACCACAAGCATACTTATTACTTCTTATCTGTTTACAGCCATATCAAATATCGAAATAAACAAAAAATTTCCTGAATCAGGATAAAACATATGTATAACTAGCTATAACTCAAAAATCGAAAAAGAATTTTGGTGAATTAGTAGTAGACATACCAAGCTTTCGGCAAATTATCCAAGATATTATCTGAAAGAGACACAGTCATGAGCATAGGCCGGCTCAGCTGTACCAAATCATGAACGTCGCCCACAGGCGAAGACATTACAGTTGTGTCTGCAGCTCTCAAGTATTCCACAAGCAAGTAGATCCCATAGCCCACCATGGCCAGCCCCACAACGGTCAAGACAAAGTTCAATAGCTTCAATAAGCACTCCAAGCACCCTCTGCAGGCCATCCTCGACAACTTCTTCGACCCCTTCAGTTTCCAAATTCAAGTCAAATGGGTCCCTTCTATTTCGTCAATTACAATTAGCCCACAATTACGTCTACTACTAATTATCACTAGGTCGCAATTAATTCCGTCATTGTCAAGCATTTAACCCAAAGATCAGTACTCAATCACACAATCCAACTCCTAACCATCGCGAGTTCACGATTATTTCCATAATCCACACATCGAGTTGTGTTTGGTTGCTTGGAAATGTAGAATCCATCTCTCCACAATATGCATTTTCCAAGATCAGGGTAATAAATCAATGAAAATTATTTTTAACAAATTAAAAAAAAACAAAAAATAAAAAAAAACCAGATATACAATTCAGCTGTAGCTCATCGAGAAAATTGGCTTCATTGCAAACGTAATTACCTCAATTTACCAACCTACTAAGCTATCTGATTTTTCCAAAAGCTGAAAATTTAACCCCTCCAGATTAATAGAAATCAGATTTAATACGAAATAAAATACCAATAAATATATTTTTTCAGAAATTAAAAAAAAAAAACCAAAATAATTAAAGTTTCAGAATGGTTTGAAAAATCTAGGAGAGATCGAACAAGACTTACACGTTAGAAGCAACGAGTACGAGGAGCTTGTCGGATTTTCGAGCTTCTTCGGATTCTAAAACCAGACACACACGACGAGGAGCAGGGGCAATATTAGCCGAAGTAGGAAGAAGGGCGGTCAGGTGAGGTACTTTATTTTGTCTAATTGCCAGTTGGCGTTTTTAATTTGTCCCCCATGTGTTCGCATTTGTGCCCCGTCACTGTTTTGTTTTCTATTGAATGACGTTAATGACCTTGTTTCTCTTTTTTCTGTTGGACCGTTTCTGGGCGCAACAGTGGTAAGCCAAGGGATGATCTAGTCAAATCATTTCGATAGATGCTTCAATATCATTGGACGATATGCGGCTGAAGGGAAAGTCAACATTCTCAAAGCTGCATCAGCATATAACATAATGAATCCATTCATCCTCAAGTCCAGCTTGATTGTCACATGGATGAGTATTACATACATGGGAACGTGGCTTTGATTGAGGTGATGCTTCCATTCCTGAAAATCACGCTCACAGTCTTCGTTCCACTTAAAAGTTACTCTCTTTCGGGTTAACTTAGCAAGCAGGACAACAATTGAAGAGGAATCTTTCAAAAACCACCCATAGCAACTGGCCAAACCCAAGAAACTTCTAATCTTGGTAACATTGTTTGGTTGCTCCCCATTAAGAATAGCGAAGATTTTTTTTGGGGTCAACAAAGATTCCCTCGGCCAAGATAATGTGGCGTAAGAAACCAATGCTATCCAAGCAAAACTAACACTTGCTAAACTTCACAAACAACTTCCTTCTTCGCAATCTTTCCAACACCAACCGCAAATGTCGAACATGCTCTTGCTCATTTTTAGAATATACCAACATATCGTTGATAAATACAATCACGAACTTATCTAAATAAGGTTGAAAAACCCTATTCGTTAAATCCATGAAGGCTGCAGAAGCATTTGTCAAACCGAAAGGCATAACAAGAAATTCATAATGACTATACTGGGTCCGGAATACTGTTGTAGAGACATCCTCAGCTCGGATCTTCAACTGATGATACCCCGATCTTAGGAACGACTTTCACCATTTTCAGTTGATCAAACAAGTCGTCTATCCTTGGTAGAGGATACCGATTCTTAATAGTCACCTTGTTCAATTGACGATAGTCGATGCATAAATGCATGCTACCATTCTTTTTCCTAACAAATAGAACCGGAGCACCCCATGGAGAAGTACTCAGCTGAACAAAACCTTTGTCAACCAGTTCTTGCAATTGGATTTTCAATTCCTTTAACTCGGCAGGTGCCATACGATTAGGAGTAGGGAAATAAGATTGGTACCTGGCAATAGATCAATGGTGAATTCAATATCCCGATTAGGTGGTAATCTAGGGAGATCCCCCAGAAATACATTAAGATACTTATTCACGATGGGAACATCTTCAGTAGTAAGAACTTTTTTATTTTATTTTTAATGTACCATGCACATCTCTTAGACAAGAGTCTCTTGGCTCGAAGACAAAAAATGAGACTATTAGGTATGATTCTCCATTCACCTTGAAATTACACTTATGGCCTTCCAGGTGGACGAAGGAAAACCAACTTTCGATAGCAATCGATATGAGCATGATATCTCGATAGCCAATTCATTCCGATGAGATCTGAGTCTACGATATGTAATGGTACGAGATCCGCTTCCATGAGCTCTACACCCACAAAAATCAAACAATTTTTTAATTCCCAATTAATTCTAACAGTTTCTTCTGTAAGGATAGATAACTCAAATTCATGATCTAGAGAAATAGGTTGAACATTCACTATACTAGCAAATTGAGGAGATAAACAAGAATGGGTAGCACCCGAATCAATCAAAACTAGAGCAAGACAGTCAAAAGCATTAGACGTACCAGTGATAACATTAGGATCTTCATCAGCCTGCTGTCGATTCATTGCAAACATTTGATTTTGTTGCACCACCCGAACGACTAGCTCCACCTAAGGTACAACCAATACGAGATCTCTGAATCTTACTCCCTCAACCCTGTCGGTTATTCTGCTATCGAGAAGTATTATGCTGACTAAACTGTGAAGTTTGTTGTGGAACTTGAGGCGTAATAGGCTGAGGAAACTAGTGAACAGGAGGATAGGCATATAGAATGGGCTGAAAGAACTGATGCCCATACGCAGGATAAGGTGCAAACTGCTGATAAGAATTATCCATAACCTCATAATCAGATTACTGAGTCATTCCATAAGATATCCTCGATTGTTGCCTCGGATTAGGAAAATTCCTCTAAAAATGTCCTGGTTGACCATAGTTAAAGCAAAGTCCCGTATCTGATCTATACTCACCATCTTGATAGGTGAAACAAGTAGTGCACAAAAGTATGAGATCCTTCTGAAAAGAACCACCCTGAGATCCACTGCTAGAGAATCGGCCACTATCGGTAGAACCCTCACTGGCACGAGGTGTAGATTATTAGAACCACTGCTAGTAATAGACCTGGATGACTTACCTTTCTTCTAAAAAGATGCTTTACTCTTCATTCCGCCCATAGTCAATGCTTCCTTGATATTCTTGGCGTTAAACTTATTCTTGAATTTGCTGAATTGTCCTCCACCACCATCACTAGTGCTTGCTTGTTTACGCTTCACTATCTATTTTTCTTTCTTTCTGCTATTCACTTGTTCAACCCGCTTAGCTTTGCGGAAATCTGTCTCATAGGGTAACACCATCACTCACCAAGGCATAGGTGCACAAGTTCGAATTTAGACCTAAAATAAACTGCTTCCTCTTCTCATATGGATTATCACAAATACACATGCAATACTCAAGCAAAAGTCAAAATTCCCGTTCATAGTCGACAATAGACATTTCGCCTTGTTCGAGAGCCAAAAACTCACCTCTTGATAGCTTGAAACTCAAGACTCAGAAAATTGTTCTTGAACCACTCCTTGAATAGATCCCAAGTTCAAAACTCATCAACCCGAATGTGATGGCGCTCCATCTTCCACCAATTTTTAGAGCTATCGACCATGAAGAAAGTCTTCATGCTCACTCATTGATCCACATGAAATCTCATTACGTCGAGAACATCGTCCATATGCTCCAACTAAGATTCAGCTTCTTCTCCGGCTCCTCAACCATCAAAAGAGTAGGCATCATGACTCACAACAATTTTCGCCTGAGTGCAGCCTCGATCAGCATTAGGAATCAATTGAGCTAATGCTTAAGAGTACGTTCATGCCTAGGTGGCATAGTTATGTCAAGTAAACATTAAATTATTAGCACAATTGTTGGCATCATAAGATGTAAATGTATATCCCCTAACTATACTCTGATACCAAATTGACACACCCAGACCACAATAACACAAGCTATGAGGCCGAGATATATTGGCCGCCACTAAATTGACCATATGGCCACTAAAAGCGGCGTCTACGGATTGATGTCTAGCGTCTACTAAAGATTCTAGCCTCTATTAGAAAATAAGTACTTGCAAATAACCTACGACCGTAACTAGCTATACAATATGTATGATAGCAATGTTGTAAAAATAAATCACCAATAGCCTCAAGATATCATTCAAGTCTAACTAGATATAAGTCTCCTCAAAGACTATCGATAATCATAATATGCATCAACATATAAAAATAATCTAAAACATTTAGTTTTCAAGGAGATCCACTCACATGTAAGCAGAACACCCCTTCTCGTTAGGTTCCTTGCCTGACTCCTTTCTATCCTCAACTAAGCATGTGTATCAATTATAAAAGCTAACATAAGCTTTTAAATGACATTCTATGAACGTTCGTCTAAAACTACTATTTGGACATCAAATTAGCCCAAACAAAGGGCATCACGTGATTCAGAACAATCGAACTTAAGACCTTTCACTTGCACCTAGAAGTTTTGTTATTTAATATTCACCTTCAGGTTGACTTCCATTTGTTCAAAAGGTGTATCTATTTACGACGTGCGATTTTTATAGTATAGAGAAAGATTCTCATTTCAGTCGATTTTATCCTCTTTTTTTTGGTCAATTGGTAAATTGAATAAATACTAAATTATATGAAGTTAGATCAATCAAATACTGATATTTCTATGTAATGAATCAGCCTAAAAAAATTCTTCCATTTAAATTGAGTGTACCTATCCTTGTGAGATAATAAAAATGAAAGACCAAGGATTTACGAAAAATAGGAACCCTATCATCAACCAACTAGCCCAAGAAAAGCTGAGGAGTGAAGCAGCAACTGGAAAGCAGATTCCTATTATTATGGAGTAACTTTTAATTCCTATCCTAGATTTGTAATCATCATAAGAAGATGGATGGGGACTCGTCTAACTTTGCTAACTCCCCCTTCTCAAACCGTTTCGTGTTTAATCTGGAAACACGTCTTCCTATTCCATCTTTTCCTGAATCTCCTTTAACACAAGAAATAAAAGCTCTTCTGTTCGTAAGATTTGTGAAAAATGTCGATTGATCCATAGGCTAGTTTATAGTAATTCGTTCTAACCCGAGGCATAAACAAAGAAAAGGATAATCTTTCTAAAAAAAAAAAAAAAAACTCGAAATCTAAAGGACCCGATGTACAAATGTACAAATAAATAAATAAGTAAAAAGTAAAAAGGCCAATTTTGATTAATAAACATGTTCAAATCTAAATATAACTATAGCTATCTATATATGCATATATTGCTTCCCTTTCATTACAGCTCTATTTAGGACAGAACATCCATGTCCATACATAACATAGAAATCACACTTGGTTTGAAAAAGTGCAGGATTTCAAGAAAATGATTCCTATGATATGTTGGGAATCCTTTTTTATAATCATCCACGCCTGAAACGTATCTTAATGCTTGAAAGTTGGATAGGATGGCCTTTATTTTGAATTTTCTTGTTCTTGATTCTCATGCAGATAATAAATTTAAAAAATGGGTCTTTTTTTTTTTTTATACCGTGTTTCATTAAAGTGGAATTAATTTTTTTTTTTTTCCTTTCCATTCACTCGGATCATTTTCGTTTCATTAATTTTGTTTGTATCCTCCTTTTTAGAGTTGGGCCAGGATTTTGCCCTCTAGTCATCTTTTGTGCACTCCGCATGAACAGACTGATCAAAGATGTGAGTGACGTCGATCACACTGATATGGGAAGGGGGAAGAAGATTAGAGGTACAATCAA